TTTTTTTTCGGTGCTTTCTCAATTTTTTGTGGGTTTTTTTTTCTTCTTGTTGTTGTTGTTGTTTTTCCTTTCCCTCCACAGGATCCAAATGTTCTGGCCAAGAGGGAAAATCGAGGTATTTCTCTTCTCCTGCTCCCCTTTCTGGGCTCAAGTTCGTGGTGCTTTTCATCTTCAAACTCCTCCTCCCCCTTCAGTTCTTGAGGCCAAAAAATGGGTTGGAAACCGGTCTGGTTAAAAAAGGGAAAAAAAGAACAAATAAAAGGAGGATTTGGGGGATTGTTGTTGCTCCTTGTGAGCTCCAAACGGAAAATTTGGAATTCCCCTTACTCCAAGTGGGAAGTTTGGAATTCCCCTGTAATTAATTAACCCCTGAGTGGGGGGGAAGCAGCGTGGGGGTCCCAAATCCAGATTTGAGGGATGGATCCATGAGGGATTGATGAATTCCTAAGTGATTGATGGATCCTTGAGGGACTGATGGATCCATGAGGGATTGATGGATCCTTGAGGGATTGATGGATCCATGAGGGATTGATGAATCCATGAGGGATTGATGGATCCCTGAGGGATTGATGGATCCAGGAGGGGATGGATGGATCCCTGTCCATGTTTCCCTGAGGAAAATTGATCGATCCCTGAGGGATTAACGGATTCCTAAGGGATTGATGGATTCCTCTCCATGTTTCCTGGAGGGATTCGTGGACTCCTGAGGGATTGATGGATCTCTGAGGGACTGATGAATTCCTAAGGGATGGATGGATCCCTTCTCCTGTTTCCCTGAGGGATTCATGGATTCCTAAGGGATTGATGGATCTGTGAGGGTTCAATGAATCCCTGAGGGATTGACAGATCCCTGCCCCTGTTTTCCTGAGGGATTGATTGAAGGATTCCTGAGGGATTCATGGATTCCTGAGGGATTGACAGATCCCTGCCCCTGTTTTCCTGAGGGATTGATTGAAGGATTCCTGAGGGATTCATGGATTCCTGAGGGATTGACGGATCCCTGCCCATTTCCCTGAGAGACTGATGGCTCTCTGAGGGACTGATGGATCCCCATCCATATTTCCCTGAGGAATCCCTGAGGGATTGATGGCTTTCAGAGGGATTGATGGATCCCTCTCCATGTTTCCCTGAGGGACTGACAGATCCCTGAGGGACTGACAGATCCTTTTCCATATTTCCCTGAGGGACTGACAGATCCTTGTCCACGTTTCCCCAAGGGACTGATGGATCCCTGAGGGACTGATGGATCCCTCTCCACATTTCCCTGAGGGACTGATGGCTCCTTGTCCATGTTTTCCTGAGGGACTGACGGATCCCTGAGGGATTGATGGATCCTTGTCCATATTTCCCTGAGGGACCAATGGATCCTTGTCCATGTTTTCCTGAGGGACCGATGGATCCTTGTCCATGTTTCCCTGAGGGACCAATGGATCCTTTTCCATGTTTTCCTGAGAGACTGATGGATCCCGGAGGGA